ATTCCTGCATCACCGACATTCTTTTGTGTACAGTCTCTGCTTACTATGCAGCATACCTCCGAGATAGATGATTTGTTTACCTTTTCAATGCGCTGGCAAGTTAGTGAAAAGTATCATCATTTTCGTGTTGATCACCCAAATATGATATTTCCCTTATATTATAAGCAGTTTTTTTCTTTACTTCACAAGAGGACAGACATGCAAATTTTTAAGCCTCTATCTCAATACTAAATAAAATATATTCACCATATTTCCTTAACCTGATAGTCTCGAAACTCTACTTATAAACGAAAAAATATCTAACTACTATTTTTTTTCGTATTTAAGTAGAGTTTCGAGACTACCAGTAAATCAGTAATATGAGATGTATTCACTTTATTTCGTTCAAGGTGATGAAGGACTGATAATAGAATTTTTCCACGATAATATGAGTAGAGCTGACGTTTCTACTCATATCATTGTGGGAAAATTCTACTACCAGTCCTTGATCACCTTGACCGAAATAGCGTGAATACATTTCATATTACTATTGTTTTATTCATAATCCCGTCCTCTGTTAACAACCATTATATTTTTTGCATGATTTTTATGAGTTATACGTTATTAAGACACATCAGAGTCAATTACTTCAAAGAGTAACTGAGATAATATTGTTGGGTTGGTTTTAATTTCCTACGAATTGCCTGTTAAAGAAGTTCATGGTTCCATCTCATCAGAAGAAGGTGGCTAATTCCCGTTGTTCTGTAGTCTCTTGATTTTACTTCCACGTTCAGTTTCTACCTCATGTTCAGTCACTTTAAACTGTTTAACCTAGCTGCCATTACAAGTCGGAGCGTGGACTTGGTGCATTCCCAGACGTTTGGCCGACATCGTAATCGGCATCCTCAGTGGGCCCTGCCAGTCTTAGCACCACACCATAACTCGTCAAAAGAGACAAGTGAAGTCAATCCTTTGACCAATTTTCAGCTAAACAGTTGTGACAACTCCTTTTGTCCTGGGCTTCCGGCTATCCTATATCCCCGTACCACCCGTTTACTATTATAATTTCATAATTGCTTATTTAAATGTGGCATGGTGTGCCCTTTTAAGGGGATTTTATGAGACCTCTTCACAGCCCACACTGGCTTTCCCACCCCTCCATTCATCTGCTGGGAATGTTAATCGGAGTCTGCCATATTAGTCCTCAATCCTCTTCCATTAAGTCCTATCAGAGACTACCTTATTCCCTATAGTATCCATCTCTTATCTTCCTGGTTCTGGGATTTCACTCGACCCTTGCCATCCTATCTCTATTACCCGAAGCGCTATTTTCCACACTCTGCCTCAAGCCTTTGATTGCATGCATACTCCTGCCTCGCTGAGCTTGATGGAAGACTAACTTGAGGCTATAGATTCCGAGTCATTCTCATCGCCAGGCCTTTGCTTCATGGACTATGTATATGATAAAACACGTCTATTGTTAGTCAAATAGCTCTAGTCTCCATTGCACATATCCTGTTTCTATCCATATTACTAAGTTTATGACTTCCTATGCACTAGTCTCTTGTGTGTCGACTCAAAAGTGATGATGCGGTTCTACCTGTTTTGATAAGGCTCACTGTAGACGTCTCTTTGGTTCCGATTGTTTCTTTCTGGTCTCCTTGTGATTTATTTTCCTCAAAATAAAGAGGTTACCTTATCTAGTCGTCTTCTTTTTGCTGATCTTTCTGTTACATGATCTTTTCTGAGTTTGCTCTGGCAGCATGCAAAGTTTTTGCGGATCCTGCCTTCTTCAAGTCTTCTCTTGTTAATTAGATTTCTTTCGATAAGGATATCGATGGCCTCTCGGATCTTGCGTGCTTTCGTATTTTCACCATATGCAGCCAGCCTTTCTGTCGAGTTCCCTTCGATTTATTGTTCCGTCCTTGCAACGTATTCCTCCTCGACCCAGAACTCAGTGTCCGTTAGTCTTGAGCTTCTGATGATCAAATTCCTCATCATAACTACTGAATCAAGATAGGAATACAGAGGAGTTTGATCATCAGAAGCTTAAGATTAAAGTACACTGAATTCTGAGACGAGGAGTTGGACAAACTAGCTCGGAGTTGCCTTGATAACGGGTAGCCCAGAGAAGTGGATATGACTGCCCTCCTGTGAACTGACCTAAAATTGAGATTGTTACTAAGAAAATAAAATCTTAAGGGGATACCAAAGGAGAACACTTTTCACTAGTCTGCCGACGCAGCACGAGAAGATTGACAAACTGGGTTGCTCGGGAATTTATCACCTCAAAGGCAACAACTATGAGTAGAAGTATATTGGTGAAGCAGGAAGAAAAATCTGCCAACGAATCAACGAACACCAAAAACACTGCAGAAACATGGAGGCGCAAAGATCCGAAATAGCGAAGCATATTGCGCGGACGGTATACGAAATAGACGGAAAGACCGGTTGCGTATTGTGAAAATGCGAGAAAACGCATGAAAGAAATATAATGAACAAAAGGAGGATTAGCAAAAACTTTGAATATTGCCTATGAAAACTCGGAGATCATGCAACAGTAAAATTTGCAAAAAGAAGATGGCTTAGTTCATGTGCTGCTTCGTGCTTTTTGTTGACTATTAGGCGTAGTGCTTCTGCTTTTGTTTTTTCTGTCGTCCCTATGCAGACGGACCTTTAGACTCAGTTCCTGATGGTGCTTTCCTGTATAGGAAATATGGTGGAAATGGAACATCGTAATAAAGTATGAAGAGAAGCGAAATCTTTTCCCAATCATGCCTTTGTAAAGAATTCTCAGACCCTATTTTACGGTTACTACTTTACAAGGCTTTGTGCTCAAGCGTCAAAGTCTATGTGGAAGAGACTTAGGACTTTATCCAGAAGAGATTATCTGATCATATATTTGCTTTAAAAAGGCCTGTGGGTCCAGGAATCTGAACTGGCACCCAGTAGGAC